AAGAATGTATTTATTTGTCAAAAGAAAAATTTTTGAAGTGAGAAATTTTGATTATATCAAAAAATTGAAAGATGGTTTTCTAAATATTTTCAAATAAAATTTTGAAATTGTGAATATGAATTATTGTCAAAAATGGCATATTTTCTATCTTAATTTTACTTTTTAAATTAGTTAGGCTGTATTAGGACTGATATGACCCCTTTTGTTAAGGGCAGGTTGTAACCAACTTCTATCCATTTGGTGAAAATATTGAATATTTTCAAATCAAAATATCTCTCTCGGATTTTAATTTTGGATTTCAAAGTAAGTTGATATAGTATTCTTGACATGTGTAGTTTCATACCCTAAGAGGATTTTTTCGGGATGTTTCGTAACCAAAAAAGTCAAAATTTTCAAACGGTGATATATATATATATATATATATATATATATATATATATATATATATATATATATATACACACACACTCTTGAATGTCCGTATTCAAGTTTTGACCATAAAGTGTCAGCTTTAAGTTTTTTTTGATAGACTGCCTGCCCAAACCAAACCCTCGGTCCATATAGCAGCACTCCCTTGCGTATCAGGCTATTTGTCAGTTGATGTAGCAGCACTCTGTTGCTAGTCAGGCTATAAGATAGTTGATGTAGCAACACTCCGCGCATGTTTTACAGTTAAAAAATTAAAATAAAAACATTCAGAATGTTTTTAAAAACATTCGAGTCTTTTAATTTGTGATTTTATAGTTTAATTACTAACTGCAATTAAATTAATGTGTTTTGACATAATCTAACCTTAATTTTGTCAGCTTTAAAACCGCAAACAAGTGAAGAGCCATTTTTTACCACAAACACTTTAGCTTAGCCGTAAAGCATAGCTATATATATATATATATATATATATATATATATATATATATATATATATATATATATATATATATATATATATATATATATACTCTTGCATGCCTCTTGCATGGCATCAAAAAAAGTTTCCCATAAACTGTAGTTTTAAAGAGCGCGTTAATAAACCAGACCAGAAAAAATTTTAAAAATTAAATTTTTTTTTAATTGATAGACTGCCTGGCCAAACCAAACCCTCAGTCGTTGTAGCAGCACTCCCTTGCGAGTCAGGCTATTTGTCAGTCGACATAGCAGCATTCCCTTGCGAGTCAGGCTATTTGTCAGTCGATGTAGCAGCACTCCGTTGCGAGTCAGGCTATTTGTCAGTCGATGTAGCAGCACTCCGTTGCGAGTCAGGCTATTTGTCAGTCAATGTAGCAGCACTCGGTTGCGAGTCAAGCTATATAATAGTCGATGTAGCAACATTTCGCATGTTTTAAAAATGTTTTTTATTAAATCAATAACAAAAACACCACTAATCAAAAAAAACTTTCTAGTCGTTATAATTGCGGTTTTTTAAAAAATTTTTAAAAAACAATTAAATTTAATGTACTTCCGCATAAATTAATTTCTTTGACATTTCGATGACAATCAAAAACAGCTTAAGAGACGAGGTAATTAAAATTGTAGTCGTAAGAGAATTTTTTTACATTAAAACGCTCTTTCGACTACACTATATGGGTATATATATATATATATATATATATATATATATATATATATATATATATATATATATATATAAAATATTGGCTTGGTTTTTCAGTGAATTGATCTGACTTAAAAAAGGCTGCATAATAGAGCCAAATCTTTAATAGTGAATTCATAAGTAGGCAACTGAAACGGAATCTTGAAAAGAAAGATTTTCAATACTTAATAGCTTTTTCCATCCATCTCACATGATGTGTTTGACTGGGAGCTCAATTTCTTGCTGTCTTTGTTTCCACCAAGAAATCAGAAGGATAAACATAAAAATTTCTAATTATTATTTCTTTGCTGCTTTGTATTAAAACTTTGACCTGGTAAGTAGATGAAACTTTTTTGTTGCATATTCTTCAATATTGAATGCTGAAACATTTCGTTAGCCAATATACAATAAGCATCTTGGTTCATTAATTTTTTTTTTTAATTACATCAGAGTTCTGATTTTCCTTCTTGTTCCCTCTTCCTGCTTTTCTTTGCTGCTGTTTTTACATCTACTATTCTCATAAAAAGATCTCTTTGCATTAAAAAGAATTAGATCTTTCTCATTTTGTTTTTTTGTCATCATATTTCTTTCATCCGGTCACTTACTTGTTGTCATGTTCTGTATACAGGAAGACTCAGTTCTGATGCAACTAAAGCTACTGGTTGAATCATTGGTTAGAAAATGGTATCCTGGCTTGTATTCAAATAAAAACATCGTTACTTAGACTTCGTTTCTAGTTCCGTTTTAGAAAACAAAAGCTATATATTGGTAACTGATACCAAGTTTGCAACTGATACCAAATAATTAACTATCTGGTGTAGTACTACTTAAGATTGATTAGATTTATTTTATATAAAATTAATTAAATTGTTTTTTTTTTAATTTATGTACCATAAGTTGTAATAGTTTATTAGATTATAAAGTTTTGTGTTATTTATATTTTAGAAGTAATTAATTTCAGATTTTAAATTAAAACATTGTCAGATGCAGGGTTGGAAAAAACCCAGAGTTTTTCAAAAAAGTTCAACCCTCATTTTTTCAAAATATTTTGTCTCAATCCTTAACATTACCATTTTTACTAACAAGCAACATTAACAAGTAAAATTTTTACACAAATTCACTGTTCGAAGAAATAGATTGAGCGCAGTAATTTCAGAAAAGGTAATTTGAACCCCAACCTTCTGATTGCGAGCCAAATGCTTTACTACTAGTCTACTAGCACATTTTACCCATAGTGCAAAAAGGAACTCCATCAACTATAAATGATGTTAATTAATTGCACTAAATTAAAAACATGTTCAGAGTATTTTTGACTAAAAAAAAATCACTATAAAAATTATGACAACTGAGTTATTCAAAGTTGGTAAGACAATATAAATGTTGGAAACTAGTTATATAGTTAAACCTTCTAAGTTATTGTCAATTAGGATGACTATGAACACTTTTTAAATATTTTTGCGTCATTGAAGAAAACTGTTAGCCTAATCACTATATTTTTTTTTTATCAGAACATTATACTGTCCAGCTTCCTGGAAAAGTTATCGGCCTGATCAACCTGGCAAAAAATGGATTTTTGCCTAAGCTTTGGTTGTTATTAAAATATCTAAAATGAATTTGTTAAGAACCATTACAGTGTCTTCACCAACAGATTCTTTTTTTTCCTTAAAGATGTTTTACTGGCTCAGTTTTGCAATTGAATCAAAGTAACACATTATATCAATGGTTAAGAGCACAAAGGGAATATGTCCACTAACCATTGTTTTGAGAAATCTGAATTTGAAAGTTTGAAAACATACAATAATTCATGATATTTATTTATTGTCATGATTTTTAATTAAATGCATTCCTCAATTAATCTGTCTTGTTTTTTACTATTTTATTTTCATTTTCAACCCGCTGTTCATAGTCACCCCTGTTGGTGGTACATGTTGTAAACTTGTAGCTGATGCAAAATATTTGAAACCTGTCAAAAGACAAAAAGACAGATGAGCACAAGTATCATTTTTACCGACAAATCTTGTCCTTGTGAGATGCATACAAGTTTTCAACATGTTCTCTCATTGAATGAGCAAATATGTTGCAAACTTGCACATAACTTAATTTTTTTTATGTTTTAAAGTTGTATGTACTTAATATAAATAAGTCTAGTAAACTGTAGGATTTTTTTTTGCCCGACAACTTTCCATTTCTAAACTGTAAATAAAGTTTAATAATTTTTATATATAGTATTTTGCTTGTGGCTTTGTACTGAAATTTGCAGTTTTCAACATAAGCTTTAAAAAATAAAAGATCAAATACCAATATAAAATGACATATATAAAATGCTTGTTTGGAAATATAGACATTTGAAAGGAGAATAAAGATACTAAATAACTAGTAATGTCTTGAAATTTAGTAAATTTAGGAAATAGAATGATTTCTATTTCCTTCATAAGTATTTAACTAATTTAATGTTTTAATACATATTTCAATAAAATTTATAATAATTTGCTATATGTTTTAAAAAAATAATAGATATTCAACTTGCTACAAACACAGATTGATCAGTTTTGGATATATTCTAAATACCATTATGTATATAAATACAGTGTTTACAAGAGCAATTACAGTATAAAAGTTGCATTTGCTGATAATAAAGCATTTATAAGTGTTAAAATCAGAGTTATCAGTTGTAAAATAGGACATTTAAAAAAAAAAAAAAAATATTTTGGGTTTTATTGGGTTTTATTGGGTTTTTTTAAGGTGGGTTTTTTTGCCAACCCTGGTCAGATGTGATTTGATATTTTTAGTTTAAAGTAAACCTTCTAAATTACAATAAAGTTAAATTCATCTAAATTGTTAACCTAAATAACTTTTGACATATTATAGATAAATATACAAGAATATTTGTTTAAAAACTATATGAAAAATTATTATTTTAGTGTTCATTTTTTACTTTTTTTAAATTTAATTAACAAGTAAAAGTATTATAAGAAAAGATTTTGTTCATTATTATTGTTGTTTTTATATTATATTATTAAATTAAGGCAAAGATTAAAACAGATAGCTTGAAAAAAAAATTACAACCATAAATAAATATCTTAAAAATACTTTTGCAATAAAATATTTATGTTTTAGTGTTATATTACCACATTGTTTTTTCATTTTACTATATTTATTTCTAGTAATTTTAAAAAGTTTTATTAAGACATTTTAGAAAAGCATTTTAAAAAAATTAAAAAATAAAACAACAAAAAGTAATATCTATCAAGTTGAGAAAAATTTAAGAAAAATCAGTGTAATTTTAATATGGTTTAAAAAATTACATAAAACTGTTTTTTAATTGTATTTTCATAAATTTGAGAATGTGTTCTTGAGGCACCAAAAGAATAGTAAGAGTAAAATTGAAGTATTTATTCATTATTTTTAGTTTGAAGCCTTTGAACATGAAAATAAGTTTTACGTAAATCCAGGTTCAGCTAGTGGTGCTTACAACCCACTTGATTTGTAAGTTTTTTTTTTTTTTTTTTTTTTTTTTTTTTTGGTGATGTTTTTGTGACTTTAATCTTAAAATATTTTTTTCACCACTTTATATAAAACTTTTAACTTACAAGTCCAGATTTTTTTTTTTTTTAATTTAAATAAAATTATTTTTAATAAATCAGAACATAAAAATTTTCATCGTCTTTAAAAATACTGTGTTTAGGCAGTCCCAAAGTCTTCTAAAATTTTCTTAAATATTTGTGTGAATTTATTGAATGTTTAAAATGTCTGACTATTCTTCTAAATGTAAATTTTAATAAAGAATTTATTGTCAAGACTTTAACAACCAACTGCAGTGTATGGGCAAAACAAGAAATGTAAAAAACTGTTCTACTTCCAAAGCAGAAGCAATATTTTTGGCATCCTTTACTATTTTTATTTTTTTTAAGTAGAATGCTTAGTTCTTTTATATCATTTTATCATAATTTTTGGAATTCTCAAATCAAATAAAATAGATGAATCAGATACAATTAATGATGATAAATTAATGGTCAATGAAATATTTGATTATATTGGCAAAAGCAATGAAAAACTGATTAAATTAATTAGAATCAAAAAATTCACCTCCATTTATTGCTGAACTTTCTGAAAACAGTGAGCGAAAATAAAGTTCTACTCGTATCAAGGAAATTATGAAATAATGACAACTATAAAAATATTTATTTAAACCTGGATATGACGCCATCAGAAAGACTAATAGGTTTTAAATTAAGAAAAGAAAAAAAGAATGGAAACCATCAGTTTTCAAAAAATAAACCAAATTCGCCCTTTCGATGGTGCATCAGGCGCAACAAAATCATTAAACTCAACATCAGCAAACACATTAAATAAAAACTTTCAAATCTGATAAAAGTAACAAGTTTAAATCACTAAAATTAATTTATTCAAACATTGATTTGATTTTAAACAAACGCCAAAAATTAATTTATTCAAACATTGATTTGATTTTAAACAAACGCCAAAAATTAATTTATTCAAACATTGATTTGATTTTAAACAAATGCCAAAAATTAAATTTCATTGTTCAAAAACTTAAGGCACATTTCATTTGTCTTACTGAAACTTTACCAAAAAATTACTGATCAGCATGGGATGACCAAGAAATTACTATAGAAAATTACATAACACTACAAATCACAATAATAAATCATGTAAAAGAGATGTAGCATTATTTGCACATATATCATTAAAGTTGTCATTAGTTAGCTTTGAAACAATTGCATCAGAATCAATTAGTTATGAGATTCAAACAAAAAATTCTAAGCTATTAATAACATCATTCTATTGATCCCCAAATAGCAATGAGGAAAATGGTAACTATATAAATCAGCACATAACTAATTTTTTTGAAAAATACACAAGCATCCTTATTGTTGGAGACTTAAACTACCCAGATATAACTTGGTCTAATAAAAAAAGAAAATCCGGTATCCCGCTCATCAAAGTCCTTAAAATTCATTGATTTAATCAATTGTTTTTTCATGCAACATATATCAAAACCAACCCACTTCAGAAAGAACTAAAGTCCAACTACTATTGACCTAACAATAACATCCATGGAAAATATAATTTCAACAATAATCCACCTTGCTCTAATTGGAAAAAGTCATCACCACCTTTTATACTTTACCTTAATAATCGAATCAATTAATAAACCAACTTATACTACAATAAACACTCATTCTCTAAAGGAAACTATAATAGCATTAATAAAGATATGTCAACCTTAGTATTAAATCTAACTATAACTCAGAACAACTTTGGGATATATTCCACACAAACCTTAAAAACACTATTTAAAAAATGTTCTGAAAAATCTAAAACAAAAACTAAAAAGCGTTCACAATAGATAACTGCCCAAATAGCAGAAGAAATAAGAAACAAACAAATTAAATATCAAGACTACATTCATAAACGGAATACTATGATTATTGCCTAGCATGTATCAGAACCAAAGCAGCTTGCAGAAATGCTCTAATAAATTTCGAAAAAGAAATTGCTTAAAACATTAATAAAAATCCTAAAGCTTTTTTTTCATACATAAAACAAATAAATCTCATTCCTGAAATAGTTCACAATAAAATAGTTGCTACCACCTATCTCGAATAGAATGCTTCAACAATTACTTTGTAATTTCTCTAATAATGATACATTGATTTAACTTATCTTCTGTTTGTCCCAGTCAACTCTTGATCTTGATCTATCTCCTGAAAACATTGAATTTCTATTAAGTCATTTAAATCACTGGGCTCAGATGAGATACATTCCAGAATATTAAAAGAAACTTATTACTAGTACATTGCCATAAATCTGGAAGGATGTCAATTTTCAAAAAAGGAAACAAGAAACTAGCTACAATAGACCCATAAGTTTAACATGCACCATAGTCAAAATATTTGAAAAAATAATACAAAAACATTTTTTTACTTATCTGTTAAAAAATAACCTGCCGACTCCTATCAAATTTTACTGTAATCATGGACACCTAATTTAGATAAAGGTGTCCCCGTCGATTATGTTTATCTTGACTTTGAAAAAACATTTGACCAAGTCCCACATAAGTATCTTCTATTGAAACTAAAAGCCTATGGAATTAATGTCCGATTCTCTACTGGATAAGAAACTTTCTCACAAATCGGAGTACACAACGATAATAACTTACTATTTTCTAAACATACCTTCATACAAGTTAATAAAGTAATGCAAATGCTATTTCTAGTAAAATCCTTCTCTCATCTAACTTTATTTTGTTTTAAAAGACTACTTTCGACCACATTTAGAATATTGTGGATCTGTATATAACCCTCGTCTACTTAAAGACAAACGGCATGTTGAAAATATACTCAGAAGAGCATCTAAATTAGTTCACGAATTACTAAGTCTTACATATCACCAAGACTATTAAAAATTAATTTGGCAACCTTAAGATACAGACTAATCCGGGGAGATTTAATAAACGTCTATAAATGGCTAAACAACTGCTACAACTATCAAACGATCTTTCCAAAAAAAAGATCGTTTAACAGTTTCGTCTAGCTTCTCGTCAAGACTTTTTCACCTTACGAGTAGTCAACAAATGGAACTTCCTCCCAGATGACATTGTAAATGCGTCATCTTTGAGTAATTTTAAAAACAAACTAGACTATCTAAAAGAAGAAATAACAATTTATGGTTAGTATATTTGTATAATAAGTTTACAGGCAATCATACAAATATATACAAATCCAATTTGTAAACCTTATAAAATAATAATAATATTAATTTTTTTGTTTGAATTATTTCAAAGAAAATTGGGTCAAAATAAGGTTTTATTAATTTGAATTCAACAATTTTTTGGCAGGGTTTTGAATTCAACGATTTTATGACAGGGTTTTGTTTATTTAGGGTGTTTAGAAACATGTTTTTGTATTGAATCAAAACAAGTTGGACAATTATTTTCTATACTTTCTTGCAAGTTTTTAATTCGAATGTATGCATAATTACTTTATTAATAGCTTTTCTTTCTATATTTTGTAAAATGCTGCCGCCATTACTGCCGTTTGAAAACAAACCTGTAGAACTTAAAATTGGTATTATTCAGATTTTGTAAAAATAAAGTAATACATACTTAACAAAAGTTGAATTACAGCAATGTCTACAAGAGATAGTTTCCCGGTGGGAAATCGGCTTGCGAATAGCTAGCTATAATCGTTACGATAAAGACAGCGATTTGGCCACGAGGATCGCTAGCTTTTTTAAGTTAGCGATAAGCTATCGATATTTGTAAAGATAAAGACAGCGATTTGGCTACGAGGACAGCTAGCTTAACAAGCTGAAGTTCTACTGGCTATTGTACCTAGCGTCATATCGTAATAAAATCGTCGTCTAAAAAATTTTGATATGTTGATATCAACCAGCTATAGATTTGTTGATATTTTGTAGCTAGCTACAAAGCTACGATATGTAGCTAGCGACACATTGCTACAAAATCGCAATATTTAAAGTTCAATTATTTTCATAGTTATAATAGACTCAACACTAAAAATCGAATTTTTAGAGATGTTAAAGATATTTGCTAAAAATAAAATAAGAAAAAAAAAATCGCTAGAAAATCGCTATAGAGCTAGCTAGTCGCTAGCTCATTTCCCACCGGGTTAGTTGTTTAACATATCAATAATAGCAGAGATTACTTCATTAGTTGGTATGGGTGGATATAAATTTATTATATTAAAATGAAATTAGAGTTTTATTGGCATCTATTGGTTTTCTATTGCTACCTCATTAGCAAAACTTAAATTATTTATCCAACAATAAAAACAAGTTACCTTTTTAATTCAATAGAAATTCCTTTGATGTAACTAACTTATATTCATTGGGAAGTGGGGTGAGAATTTCTAATAGAAATAACGGTGATAACGTGACAGCCAAAATCCGTGACCATTAATAAACTAGATTTTACTGACGTTAGCAATAAATGTTTTTGGTGCACAATTATTTAAGTATTTTATTTTTATAGGAATATTGTTCCATCGTTTGTTCTTATGGATATACAAGCTGGTATCGTTGTTGCCTATGTTTACCAGCTTCATGGAGATGACGTTAAAGTTGACAGAATTGAATATAAAAAATAATATTTCTTTAGTTCTCACTTATTTTTATATTATGAATATTTTGTTTTTACAGATCGGCTTAGTTGAATTTTTGAATTTTTTTTTACAATGTATAAAAATATAAATACAATTTAATAAAATAAAATATCTTTTAAGAGCTCTTGATGTCTAAAGTCATTATATTTAATAAAATCTTTGTCTATAATTTTTGTATAAAGAAACCAGGTTACCGGTTAGAATCGGGTACACTTAAAGAACCGAAATTATGCAACTTGTAAAGATAATAGTTAATGTAAGTAAAAAATGGCTTTCTATTTTATTATCAATGTTTGTGTTTTAACAATTCATCAATTTTTTTAAACTTTCTCGTTCATCACTTGCTTCCTTAAACTTGCACAAAAATATTATTCTTTAAGATAAATTAGCGAACTCAACCTTATAACAATTAAGGATCGTCCATAAAGTTTAAAAGTTTACGCTCGGAGAGGAAGAGGAGGTCTGTGAATGGCGTTTCTGAGATAAGAGGGCAGTAGGTCAATTATAAAAGTATGGAGACACTAAATTAAAAAATATATAAAATGTTGGGTTAGTAGGTTTAAAGCGTAGGTACTTTTTGGGAGGTAGAGAGTGCTCAAGAAAGCGTACCGCAAATTGCGTGGTGGGGTGGCGAAAAAAAGCGTACGTACTTTATAGACGACCCCTTATTTGCATGTCTCGATATGTATTAATTGTTATGACATGCATATATTCTTGAAAATTACATTGTTAGGACATGTTAGTAAAATATTATACATATTAGTAAAAATGCTTTATAAAGTTTATGAAATGCTACTGAATTATTTTTGAAACAATTCAGAGTCCTTCTGTTAAGCTTGCATTCGGTCCAATGCGCATTTCAACTTTTGCTAGTGGTCTAATGTGCATGTTGGAAGTTAAATTTAAATTTTACGTATCATGTAAAGGTTTCCCTTATTAATATTATCTAAGTAATTTATTAACCAAAACATAAGGCTAAGTAATTCAGACTGATTCCTATTAGTTGGTTTAAAAAGTTGTTAGAATTGTGCTTTTAAAATTAAATTGTGTTTAAAATTAAATTGGGTTGAAAATTAGAATTGTGCTTTTAAAGCTATTATACAATAACTCAGGTTTTAATCTTTTCATGGACTGGGTTGTGCAACAAGTTAAAAAGTATTGTTTTTTAAGAAGACATTTTTATAAACTAAAACTATTTAATTTTGATTAAATAAACCAGAAATTATTGCCTTTTCACATGCCCATTCTTTAAAACAATAATTTTCAGTTAGTTGTTGCGCAACAACCCAGTGCATGAAAGGTTTAAGTTTGATTTCCAATAGTTTTAGAAATGTCGTACAACAGTTGTGCAATAATGTTTTATAATGGTTGTACAACATAATCATGTTGTAAAACAAAGGTTGCGGAATTTTAGCAACAAAAGAATCATAAAAAAAAAAAGAATCAAAACAATTGCTGTACAACAAAAAACTCTTAAAAACCAAGCTATAGACATAATTAAAAAAATATATATCAAAAATTTCACTTCAACTCGTTTCGATGCAACTAAGGCTTAGAACAAACAGACTCGTAAAAAAAAAGCCGATTGGTTGTTTTTGGCAAACCGAAAAACTTTATTTTTTGGTATTTAATTTATGCCAATCAAAGAATTCGTATTGAAAGTAATTTATTTGTAAAGTTCACCGCCTCTGTTTTTTAATTGTTTACGCATTCTGAATGGAATAATTTATTATTTCAAGATGGCCGAATAGGTCTCGAGTATTTCAAAAAATGATACTAAATACCGAAAACAGTTTTTTAAATGGGGCTAAAAGTTATGATTATTTTTACAAAAACGACTTAAATTAACACTACCATAGGTTATCTAAATCTAACGTGACATTATTGTTAACGGTTTTTAATCCATTTAAGTTGGTACTTGGGTGAAAAAAAAATAAAAATTAAAAATTTCAAAGTGAATGTTTTTAAGTAAACTGAGCTATGCAGAAAACGCCTATGTAATTTGTTTCATTTAAAATAATTCAGATGATACTTAACTTTCTATTTTAAAAAAGGCACTCTATTTAACTTTCTATCTAACTTTCTATTTTAAAAAAGCTCTAAACTCAACTTTCGTAGCAACGCCCATAGCAACCAATTTTGATTTACTGAAAGCCTCTAAAAAAAACCCATGGTTGGGTTGCTTTAAAGTCATTAAATTGTTTTACAGAAATATAAACTTCATGCAAAAAGTCACCAATTAAATACATTTAAATTGTTTTAAGACATTTAAATTGTTTAAAAATTGAAAAGCTGCAAGTGAAATAATATTTGTTTACGTTTTTAATCATCGTTTATTTGATTTAGTTACATGGTTTTTTATATTTTTTTTTTGAGCCTTGTTATAGTTAACTTAATTGGTTTTTTATTTGTTAAAATTAGCACCTCAAAACCCATTGCGCCTGAGTGAAAGTCACCCATTATACTCTGCTGGCCCCCCCACCCCCTTCATAATACATTACTTAGCAGCGATTGTGCGATTAACCATTATTGTGGTTTAAAAAAACTAAAAAAATATGTTGTTAGATAAAATTATAAAATATAAAAGTTGAACAATCAAATAAAAATCTAACACGAATGAAAATTTAATAAAAATCATGGTTAAAAATCATTTAAAAAAAACGTATAATAAAAACAATTACAAGTTTTTCAAATCTCCACGAACGAGAGCGTGTAAAGTTAAAACATAAAATTATTTTAGGCTGCTTAACTGCAGACTTACCTATATATATATATATATATATATATATATAATATATATATATATATATATATATATATATATATATATATATATATATATATATATATATATATATATATATATATATATATATATATATATATATATATATATATATATATATATATATATATATATATATATACAAACACACACTCAAAACATTACAAGTTCTTCATTTAAATTCAACATGATTAATAAATAATTATGCATAATCACATTATATATAAAGAAACAGAAAATAAAATAATTACCTGAAGCTGATTGATTGTACATGGTTTGAGATTGAACTAAACATATTGTGTGTAAAAATCAGTTAATGTCATTTATAACAAAAATCTTAATGTAAAGTAAATAAAAATTATAATACAAAATATAACAATAGTCAATAATTTTATAGTTTGTTTAACAGGTTAAAAAGAAATGTTAAATCTAGTTAACAAGAGATAACAATAAAAATAAAAATATATTTACCAGTAAAAAATGTTTATATATATTTTATAAAAAGAGTGATTTTAAGATTGATCAATTTTTAATGTCAAATGGTTTACTCCCTTTTAGTCTGACTAAAACTTTTATTCAGGCTTGAAGTGAGTAAATTTTTTGACATTAACATTTGATTTTTTAAATAAAATTACAAATAAAATTTAAAGAAAATTAAAAATAAAGCTCTTTCTTTTTACTAAAAAGAAGTGACTTATCTTTATATATATATAAAAAATAAGTCACTTACTCTTTTTAGTAAAAAGAAAGAGTAAAAAAAAAGAGTGACAATATAATTGTTTATGATTTATGATTTTATGTTTATTAAACAATACAAATTCATAAACAATGAAAAGAAAAAAATTAGAAATAAAAGTAAAATATAATTTAAAAAACACATCACCATACATATCACTATGAATTAGAAAATGCTCGAATTGATACAACAGAAAATGCTAGAATTTATATAGAGTTTAAGTTAACATTATAAAATTAACATTATAATTTAAAACCACATTATAACACATTAACAAATATTCATCAAATAAACTGCAAACCACGCAATCATCCCCAGATATTCTTGAGCTTTTTCCCTATAGAATTACAAATATTATTTAATAAAACTATTTAATCTAAAAAAGCTGTTTTAGGGCTGACTTGTCTTCCGTGTGAATAAATAAAAGATGGCGTTTAACAAAGACGATCTTTTTTACTTGTTTTATTTTTGAGAACTTACTACGAACTTACTAAGTAATTTGTTTAATCCTGATAAGTACTTAGTAGGAACTTACTAGGATTAGCAGGAAATTCATAAACGTCATTTGACTAATGGGAAACTTAATAGGTTTAGCCGTATTAAGCGAAAACTTACCAGGATTAGCCGTATTAGCAGGAACTTAACAGGATTAGCAGGAAGTTAAACAGATTCCTAGTAGTATTAGCCGGGTTTTTTTTTCTCGGGTAGCTATCACTCTTTCAAACAAAAACTTAAAAAAGTCATTTATTTTTTAGATGATATATCTATATAATCTTTTAATCTTTTGTTTCTTTTTTAACTTTATATCAAACACTGCATTAATAAAATTTATAATTTAACAATTTGTAAATAGTTGTTTAACACTTTTGTTAAAGGTATCTTAAAACTGTATAACGCTTCGACGTATTTATAACGGAACCTTTTTTCTTTTTTTCTTTAAATTTGTTTAAGTTTTCAATTTTTAAATCTTAATTATTTGTTATCTTCAAGTTTATTAAGTATATATTCCTAAAGAAAGTTTATTTATTTTGAGAATATTTTATTAACACGTAAACTTTTTAGCGGTCCTCGACGACAAAACATTACGATCTTCTACGAATTCCCGCGTTCTTTTATTTCTTAATAACGATCATGTATATATATATATATATACATTGTTAACGAATATTTATTAAATCACAAAGTTGTAAAATTCAAGAAAAAAAAAGTTGTATTAAAGATTCACACTTTATACGCGTCGTATTTTTTTTAGAACTTTTGTATTCATCAAAGACTACTTTATGATAATTTAGAAATTGAATGTACTTATCAAAGATATTACCAATTGTTTCCCTCTTTGTTTTAATTGCAGCACCATAAAAGACAGCCACCATTGTCAAATCTAACTGAAGTAGGAGCGTGCGTTATAGTTATAACTGGCTTTGCTAGGTCATTTTTCAGCTTGTGTTTTGCACATGAGGCTATCTTTGAGCACTGCGCATGAGACCATCTTTAAAAAAAGAAAAAAAGTTGTAGTAAAAGTAATCTTCAATTTTGTTGTCTGCTTTTTTCTTAATGATAACTGACAAACGTAAAAATAATGTCCAGGGATCAACCGATACCTTGTTATTGTTGATTTTAATATTCAAGTAGAGTTCTTGAAGAGTTGATTACTTCTCTTAAAACTTTTGTATATGCCATGCCATTCATTTGTGTACTCTATTGATGTACCAATGTTTTCAGAACAATCACAAATCACCTGATTAAATTTATCTATAGGCCATGAGTCAAGAGCGTCAGATTGATCCCTTACGTTAAATCAACG